TGACTCATAGACTATAGACCAGGGGTCCTCAAACTACGGCCCGCAGGCCACATGCAAATACAAATATTGTATTTGTTTCTGTTTTGTTTTTTTACTTCAAAATAAGATATGTGCAGTGTGCATAGGAATTTGTTCATAGTTTTTTTTTTAAACTATAGTCCGGCCCTCCAACGGTCTGAGGGACAGTGAACTGGCCCCCTGTTTAAAAAGTTTGAGGACCCCTGCTATAGACTCATGAGACTATAGTAAGCAGTCAAACATGTGAGTATTTGATGTCTTAGAAGGGAGGGGGTAGAAAAAAATATTTGAAGAAATAATGGCCAACAATTTTCTAAATTAATGTAAAGGATAAATCCACATATTCAAGAATCTCAAATGAACCCGCACAGGATAAACACAAAGAAAATCACACCAAGGCAAATAAAAGCCCAATTAATAAAAATAATCGATAAAAATAATTTTTAACAGCCAGAGGGGGGAAATAGGCACATTACATACCATGGGAGGGGGGGGGAGAAACACAAATTAATAGTCACAGCCTTTTAATAGAAACAATGTGAGCTAAAAAACAATGGAACAATATCAATATCCTTAAAGTTCCAAGAGAAAATACTGCCAACTTATACTTCTGTACCAAGGAAATATCACTTTCAAAGACAAAAACAAAGACTTTTTCCCCCCAGAAAAAACAAAATGGAGAGCACCTATTGCTAGCAAATCCTCACTATAACCAATGTTAAAGGAACTTCTTCAGTACTTAACCCAACTATATCAATAATTACAAAACATGTACACACACTAAATAGACTAATAAAATCAGAGATTGAAAGTTTGGTTAAAAAAAGTAAAGGGCAGCCCTGGCCAGGTGGCTCAATTAGTTGGAGCATCGTCCCATACACCGAAAGGTTGCAGGTTTGATTCCTGGTCAGGGCACATACCTAGGTTGCAGGTTTGATCCCCAGTCAGGGTGCATGAAGGAGCCAATCTCTCTCTCTCTCTCTCTCTCTCTCTCTCTCTCTCTCTCTCACACACACAGACACACACACACACACACAAGATTTTAAAAAAATGCATCTATATTTTATTTATAAGAAATAACTTTTAAATATAAAGATAAGTTAGAAGTTAAGGGAGAGAAAAAGGTATAACATGTAAACTCATAATAAAACATCTGGCTTAGCTATATAAATTTCAAAGTACAATCAAATAAAAAATAAAGATTAAAAAAATAAAATGCATTTATATTTTATTTATAAAAATAAGTTAAAGTTAAGGGATAGAAAAAGGTATAACATGTAAACTCATAATAAAGTATCTGGTTTAGCTATATAAATTTCAAAGTACAATCAAATAAAAAAGTGTTACTATAAATAAACAGGAATATTTAATAATGCTAAAAGTGTCAATAGACTCAGAAGACCTGACAGGCCTGTGTGTATATTCACTAAGTGACAAAGCTTCAAAAACCTATGAAGCAAAAACTAACAGCACTAAATTTATAGACAAACTCACAATTACAGGTGATTTTAACACTTCTTTCTCAGTAATTGACAGAACAAATTTAAAAAATCAGTAATAAACTAGATTTTGAGCAAGCAATTTAACCTAATTGACATTTATAAAACATTATACCCCCAAACTGCAGAATACAAATTCTTTCCCATTTCACTTGGCACGTTCACTAAAATAGACCAAAGGCAGATCTCAATAAATGTCAAAGGTCTATTATTATACAGAATATGTTCTATGTCCAAAACAGAATTAAGTTAGAAATCAATAACAGAAGGATATCTGAAAAAAATTCCCAAATATTTAGAAATCAACAACACATTCCTAAATAATCCATGCATCAAAAAAGAAATCACAGAGAAATTTTCAAAATATTTTTAACTAATTCTATATAATAAAAGGGTAATATGCAAATCGACCAAACGGAGGACTGACAGGTCACTATGATGTGCACTGACCACCAGGAGGCAGATGCTCAACACAGGAGCTGCCCCCTAGCGGTCAGTGAGTTCCCACAGGGTGAGTGCTGCTCAGCCACAAACCTGGCTGATGGCTGGTGAGTGCAGCGTCAGTGGCAGGAGCCTCTCCAGCCTCTGCAGCAGCGCTAAGGATGTGGGCCATCAGTCGGACATCCCCTGAGGGTTCCGGGGCTGCCAAAGGGCCAGGCTGAGGGGACCCACCCCTCCCTGGTGCACGAATGTCATGCACTGGGCCTCTAGTTAATAACAAAAACATCTAAAATTTTGTGGGATATAGCTAGGCAAATTTGAAGGCAAATTTAGCTTTAAATGCTTATATTAGAAGGAATAAAGGTTTAGAATAAATGATCTATGTTTCTACCATATAAGCTAGATGAAGAAAAGCAAATTAAACTCAATACAGAAGAAAGAAAATAATAAAAAATAGTAGCAGAAGTCAATGAACTTTTTAAAATCAGTAAAGAAAATCAATAAAGGTAAGAGATGGTTTTTGGAAAAATTGATAACCTCCTAGCTAGACTGATTGAGGGGAAAAATAAGGAATCATGAATTCCCAGTAGTAGACTTGGCATAATGCTAGACAGAACTGTAACTTCTGCAAATAGTCTCAAGCCCCCTCCCCAAAACCACCCCTCCTGCCTAGTCACCCCATCCCTGCCCCAGGAACCTTAGCAACTGAAGGGTTGAAGCCTTATACAATAAGGACCCTATCAGACCCCTGCACTGTTCAAAGGACCTGTGGCCTTGTTCCTTGAGGCCTCAATGTTTGTTCATTATTTGGACCATCACTACGGAGTCTACAAGACCACTAAGTCAGGAGCTGACATTTTAGAGGACCTCATGTGTTATCACATCCTAAGTTTTGAGTCAGAAAGGAATCTTCCCAGAGTTGTGGAGAGGGCTAGTTGTAGATTTTTGAATGTTCTTCTTTTAGTTAAATAAACACCATACTTTCTATTAGGAATAAAAATCTCCAAAATTAATGGCAGTCTATGGTGCTATAATGACATAATATCAAAAAGTCATCTAAAATAGGCAGTGAAGGAAAACATATTGTAAAGTTCTGATAAGCAACATTTAAACTGGAGAAACAGTGATCTTAGATAAGCTTACTTTTTTTTTCCTGTGTTTTTGTCTTTATTTCTAGAACCAACAAACAAGAATTACAACAAAGTACCTCCTACTTAAAATAGACTTTACTAAGAAGCCGGAATTCAATTTTTACCAAAAAAATCATCTCAACAGTAATTCTTAGTTTTTTAAATCTCCATTTTTAAAAATTATCCATTTAGCAAATGGGGTAAGACTCTGAAGCCAGACTTCTTTAGTTAGCATCCCAGCTCCACCACTTATTAGCTATGTGTCTATAGGCAAGTTACGTAATCTCTATCTGCTTCCCTTTCCTATCTGTAAGGGAGGAAAGGGACTAATAAAGTATCTATTATGGCGATTTAAAAAGCAAATATTTGTAAAGTGTTTAGAATAGTGCTTGCCCACATAAATGCTATTTGTGTTGGTTAAATATATGTTAAGAGCACGTTTACTATTCTCACCAATCTTTGATGAAGGTAAAAGTTTCAAATCTGATGTTCAAACAAAACGTTTAAATAGAAATCTAAGTTTTAAGGCTTGTTATCCAAATTTGGCATAAATCTCCTTCCCATCCAATTTTCACCATACCCCTCCCCATGCTATTCCTTCTCCACCAAGTCATCCACATGTGAACCTGTGTGCCGTATGGTGACTGATGGTTAACTCTTCTCTCATCAGCCGAAGAACAAGAAAAGCAAGACTGCGGCCTCTGCTCTGAAACTCTTAGGTAATAAAGTTAATGACGACCTAGAGCAAAGACAAGGTGAGCAGACTGCCTTTCCTTCAGGGAATTCCAGAGCACAAAGGCCTGTGATGAGGGCTGCAGCAGGAATTGTAATCATTTCATGTTGCGTAATGACCTGCTAGGAAGCCTTCCACTGACTACTTGGTTGACCCAACCTCACTTTTTAGCGCTGATCCCTCATCTGTAAACTAGGGGTTCATAGACTATGTCGTGAGATATATTGAGTTAATACATATAAAGTGCCTACACATGCCTGGTAAAGTAAGAATATCATAAATGTGAACTATTAGTATTTTGCAGGAATCAGTCGTTTCCGTTTGAGCATAGCCTTTCCGTTAGGGTTTATTGCAAATAACTCTATGACCAAGAAAAAGGGGGAGGAGAGGGGCGCACGTTCGAAGTGGAAGGAGCTCGGGAGAAGCTGATCATAGCACAGAAGGGCACAGCCTGTTTCTAAGGCGCTCAGAGTAAACTTGGGCATGGCGAGGAGGAGAGGGGCGCACGTTCGAAGTCGAAGGAGCGCCTGTTTCTAAGGCGCTCAGAGTAAACTTGGGCATGGCCATCAGAGCAGAATCCCAGTGGCCAGCAACTTCCATGCAAAGCCGCACACGTGGGACGGAGAGCGCTCAGAATCCAGCAGCGGGAAGCATTCCACGCGGGCGAGCCAGAGGGGGCCCCCGCACGGCCTGTACACGTTCTCCACCAATTCCCCGAGAGCTGGCTCGGCGGCCTCCACGTTCGGAGAGACGCCTCCACCCGGCGAGGTGTGTCTGTGCTTCCCACGGCCCCGCTCCAGCTGCCGGAGGGAGACGCAGTAAGCGATCCCGCGCGTCACACCGGCGACGAGGAGACGCTGTCGCCGCCTTCCCACCGGGAATGTCCATCCAACCTGGCAGGTCGGGGGCGGGACTCGCCCGCGGGCCCCACCCAGCCACCTCCATTGGCTGAGGCCTCCAGGGGGCGGGGTCAGCGCAGCTCTGTGGGAACCCGGGTCCAGGCGGTGGAGGAGAAGCCCCGG